ACGTCACTGTTTCCAGGTAGTTCGATATTGCGGGAATGGAGGAAATGTGACAGTTTCACGTGTAGCTTCTGTCACATTCAGGATTGTATAATAATAGTATCCTCAACGTTATTCAACGACTGTAATCGACACCCGATACACGTCGCCGTTAGCCGTTAAACGGTCGATTATGACTACGAACAATAACACATTGCAACAACTGCATGATAATATTCTGAAATAAAAATTGTGTGCAATAGGAGGAAAAAACACTCCAACGCTTATTTGTGATCACTGATATTCCTTCTCATCTCCACCCTTAAATTGTTTCTCAGTGATTTTTCCGACGAAATGACAAAAGTTTTTGAATCTCTTCCTCGGAAGTCACACTGCCTAATTACGCGGTATTCATGATCCTGTTTAGCGGCAGTGAACCTACTACATACGTAATAATTCTGTCGTGCTTTTTCCGACGGATTTTGTTGTAAAGAGAAAATTGCAGAAGAACGAGCGTGGACTTGTTCCGCATGGTTTCTCCTCATGACTGTGCTTCTTAAAATAAAAAAGCTCCAACCCGACATGCGGAAGAAATTAAAGTGGAAGGGAAAACAAGAGGTTGTTGCAAGCGCTGACCGGAAATAGTCCCACAGGACTACACCCGAGACTTATACATAAACAGCTATTTTACGTCTACCAACAATATCGTTTACCCCTGGTAGGTACCCTTTTCCATCCACCCTTACCATCACAATTATATAATCATCAGCACGATTCAACACTTTTTTCAGCTCATTCAGATTGTGTAGTCGGAATCTCATTAGGGTACCCTTGTCGGCATCTCACTAGGGTACCGATAGATGCATCTCATTAGGGTACCCTTTCAGGTATCTTATTAGGGTGTCGATGTCGGCATCTCATTAGGATACCGATTTCGGCATCTCATAACGGTGCCGTTGTCTGCAGCGGAGACACATCCTTGACTATAATATAGGTTGTAGTTGCTCATTCAGATTGCGTAAACGGAATCTCATTAGGGTACCCTTGTCGGCATCTCACTAGGGTACCAACAGATGCATCTCATTAGAGTTTAGATAACTGTATCTCATTAGGGTACCGTTATCTGCATCTCATTAGGGTGTCGATGTCGGCATCTCATAAGGGTGTCGATGTCGGCATCTCATCAGGGTGCCGATGTCGGCATCTCATTAGGGTACTGACGTAGGCAACTCATAAGGGTGCCGTTGTCTGCAGCGAAGACACATCCTTGACTATAATATGGGTTATGTGTGAAGAAGGTCGCTCAATTTTTCGAAATTATTCAGCAACCTTCAAGGATTCCGTTCGAGCTCAGATTTTGCAGGTTTGAATTTAGAGTATACACAGTTTAACATTATTAGGAGAAAAGGCATTTTCATTATCAAAAGAAGAAATAAGCGAGCAATATTGAAAAGATCTTGGAACGGAAGCATTATTAAAGCGGTCCCGGTAAGCCACACAAACCCCTAGACGACATTTCCTTCGGAAAAGTTAAAAATACGCTGAAGCAGAAACAAAAAGAAATCAGACCAAGACAAAGAAAGCTGGTAAAAGTTAATAGTTGACATTTTATTGTTTCATTAAGCTTTCGAAAAAGCGACTGTTAAGTATCAATCTAGAAAGAAAACGAGAAAAAATACAATACAATAAACCACACCTTCAAAGATGGCCTGAAACAATATTTTTTACGTTAAAAGTACATAAAGTTAAATAATTAACGTGTATGCTTGTTAATAATTTGTTTCTGATAATTCCTCTAAGCACAAATTTTCCTATTTACAGTCACAATAACTGCCTTAAATGCTGAAATTTTCGTCCAAATACATTCCGAAACTAATTTTTGAAATATAATTTTTTAAATTACTATCTAAAGCTAGCAGTCGCCTCATTAATTTGTCTAATGTTAAGGGTTCCCTGCCCAGAACACTTGAAAGGATTAAAGATTATCAAGTTCCTTAATATTCTCTGGATTATAAATGTTAGTAACGTCGGGATCAATAATTGTGCCACTATCTGGGTCATCGGATTTTATTAACTGTATAGATACACGTAGTTTATGATAAAACACCTGGCCGGCTGTAGTTAATGCAGGACTAAATTAGGAACTAGGGTTGTAATATTGTCGCGTGACTTAGCGTCATTTTGTTTCTTCTTTTCCGAAATGAAAAAAAAGTGATATTTATATCTATTAAGAAAGGCCGTTTAATCTATTGTACTACATATTTGTTTTCCTGTCAAAATATTTCCGTCTACGCATATATTTGAACCTTTTAATTCAAATGCACGTTTGCCATTTAGAAGCTCGCAATTTTTATCAAAAATAATAGAAAGGATCCTAATTACATGCACATATAATTAAGACATTTATTTACTGATAACAAAACTGAATAAATTAATTAAATATAAAACTACAACTACTATTCATCAATGGCAACTTTATATAATGTGTTATTAGAATCCAGAAAATGCACTGTTAATTTGTAAAACGTTTTTTGACGTGACAACGTCTTATAATTCGATGGAGCCGGCTGCACGCACGAAAAAACATGACTAATGCGGCGTTACCTCGCTCTGAGGCGTTCCATTTAAGGCTTGAAGTGCAAGCGAGAGCGCGGAACGAGCGACAAAGAGGCACAATCGGCCTCCGCGTTCGGCAGCGTTCGACATCTGTCTCTCTCTTACTTGAGTGAGCGATGCGTCCATTTACTTCCTTCTCTATATCCATACAAAATATCTACCAAACAAATAAAATTAAAATTTTCTTTTGAAAAATGAAACCATTCCATCAGTATTTTCTTATGACGTTGTCACGTTCAACTATCGTCAGTAAACCGAGTTTACAGACAACCGATTTTTTCTAATAATCCATGGTAAACCATAAAATTGCTTAGATTCCGTTCATTTCTATTAAACATAACAAAAAAAAAGGACCAGCGACGAAAAGGTGGGAAAGAATCTTACTAATTAAGTCGGCTACGCATTTTCTTACAACAACATAAACATCAGCAGAAGAGTAATCAGAACGAGCAGGAGATTACACGAAATCCATTCCCTTCGGTTACTTTTACAGAAATTAATGAAAACAAACACCATAAAAATTCACGACCTATAAGACGAGGCAAACAAATTCGTTTAGAATTGCGAGGAGTTTTACTAAGAACAAGTTAAAATTATTTTCTACGGAGGACAGCTAAATACCTCAAAATAAAAGAATAAATTGTATTTTATATCTTTCTTTCATAAGAGAGAAATTTATTATCTCTAGGTTTTCTAATTGGTGAAGTTTTCATCACGTCTGAGTCTGAATAAAAATACATTTCATGATTTTATTTTTCTTCTTGCATAACCTGTCCATAAAATAAACGCTGGTACATGGATAGGACTTTATATTTGGGGAAACACGGTAATCGTTTGATTATAGTTTAGGTTATAGAATCGTTGGGAATATCGTAAGCATAGAAAAGAGATGTCAGGTAGGAATTGCAGCGGACACTAACTAACTAACATTATACCAAATAATGTGTAACAGAAAGAGATGTAGACAAGCATAATTTTAGCATGCTGCCAGCATCGAACTTTAAGGATGTTTGGGCGATATGTCAAAATGCAACGAGACAAATAAAAATTTGGAAGAACGTTCCTCATTCAATCCTAAAACTCCTGTAAAAATTACAAATCGATTCACTAAACCGTTAAAAAGTTATTGAAATTTTAAAAAATTGTAATTTTACACGTCATTTTATGGAGATTCGTTAACCGAACAGATTAAATTTATTTTTATTAACAGAAAAAAAGCTACCAGAAATTTCAAACTTTTATAATAAGTAACTTGAACTCTGGAGAATCACTTTAGCGTAAGGTTATTCAAATTCACTAAATGGTTATCGAGGAAAAAATGAAAAATTAGCTGAAAATCTCGTTTTTACTTGATAATATAATGATAATATTTATAATTGTCTGAAATAAATGCAATTTTAAAGTTTTAATTATTATTTAAACATATTAAAAAGTTTTACGCTCATTATTAATAAAGATTGAAACTAAATATTTTTTTGTTTCGAAGTTGAAATCAAGGCATATTCACTGCCAAAAGTCAGTTAAAAATTTTCCATATTATTCCTTATTTCTTATTTTATTCAAAGTTTTTGGTCAAATTCCAAATTTTCTCTCAAACCGTATACTTTTTTTTTAGTGTAGATAGTATTTATTTACCTCATGATATGCTGCAAAACCTAATTAATCACGAATTTCTAATTTTATGTACTCTTGTCTCCGATTGTACCTCCCAAACATCCTTAAAGAAAGCTCAACATTCTCAGGAATTTAGGAAAGCAAAGTAAATTTTAATTGTCCCACTTATACATGAATATAAGTTCTTACAGTGGATTCGCAATTATTTATTTGTTTCTAGTACCTATAATTTGAGCGTGTATCTGAAATTTGTTGTGTTTTTTCTTGCAACTTGCTGTTCTAATGACAATTTCATCTCTTACAAGTTACAGACAATTTTGGTTCATGTAAGCACCCATGTTCACAAAAAATATAGAACGTTTGTTCATGTCCAGCACGCCCGTTACTTTCATTATGAGACTTGGAAACAATTTCGAATTTCTTATTGCTTCGCTTTTTCCTTGTATTCGTAATGTTGTTATGGAAAATTGTCTTCATAAATTCGGACTAGGTAACAGCGAAAATCGTCGACGTCATTTCAAAACGAATAAAAATCTTTCCAACTTTTTATCTGTTATATGTATCTTTGCTCTCAACATGGCAGTTATGTACACCTACTACATAGGGTGGCGCAAGTAACTAGCAAATTTTTTGTTACTGATCTCGCATAAAAATCTATTACTAGTTTATTATAATTTAAGAACGCTATCAAAATTTCAATACCAGCTATCACAATGAAAGAAACTTGGAGAAACTGATAATTAATAAATAATATAATACTAACGGTTTTATTCTGATTACTTCTACAAACTTACCTGGATGAACAACCATGAAGTAAGTAATGCTAAACTACTGTACTGTCCATTAAACCGATAATGGTAGGCATAAAATGAGAACTGGTACAAGTAGAAGAACCTGAAAAAAAGGAAAAGAATATTAGTTTAGAAAGTGTAGAACTCCATACTTACTAAAACAATAAAACCTATATAAATTTAAGGGAAATGTTAAAAAATTTGGAGATAGAATTATTAACATGATGATACTTCCCTGATTCGAGTTTAAGGGTTGGATTTGCTTCCTACACTGAAAAAAGTGAAAATACTTGGATTTACTATGCGGTGTTACTTTCCCATTTAACGGCTCATAATTGAGACTCTACTATTCTATATTCAACTATGAAATGTTAAATGGAAAATTAAGACAGCATCGTAAATCCAACTATTTCATTTCTCTCAATGTAACGTTTCCTCAACACGAGTGGCGAGCTACTTCAGAGGTCGTTCCATGGATGTGGAGTCCAGAATCGCAGATGGAAGAACCTCTGGAGAAGCTCGCCTTTCGTGCTAGCGAAACGTTAGGAACTCGAACAGACGACGACCTTTAGACCCAAATCTTGACAGCAGCAGTTCACCTACTGGTTGCCAAAGCAGCTATTCCCAATGTATTAACACATTAATAATATATTTAAAGAAAACCCAGACTAGTACAAGTCCCTGAAAGAGGACAGCAGTACTCAGGGTCGCAGAGATCAAGAGGATCGGTACTGCGATTTGGAAGGCAACGAGAAATCACCACATTATGATCTCGATTTTAACGTATAACTACACAAATTACATGATGGCGTCCTCTGGGGTTAAGCAGTCCGGACGTAAACTAGTCTCCCATTCGGATATTCGGGCGGGAACTACCTAGGGGGATGTCATCAACAAGTGCAATAGGGAAAGATGCAATATTTCACGAATCGGAGCGTCGAATGTTAGGACAATGAGGCAAGTAGGGAAATTGGAAAATTTGAAAGTTGAGATTTATAAATTCGAAAAAGATTGTTAAAGGTGTATGTTGGGAACGCGGCGCAGTACGGGTGCGAAATATGGACGGTGGGCGCGACGGAAAAGAAAAAGTTAGAAGGTTTCGAAATGTGGTGTTACAGGCGATTGATGAGGATACCACGCACAGAGGTTAGAAATGAAGAGGTATCTATTAGAACAGAGGACTATATCGTAGTAAATAAGAAATGGGAGAGATAGGTTGGTAGGAACTCGAAAGTGTTTTAACAGTACGCCAGTGCCAGAACTGGTTCGCTAAATTTCGATCCGGCAATTTTGATGTCGAAGATGCACCACGTTTGGGAAGGCCGGTTGAAGCTGATAAAGACGCGATAAAGGCATTAGTTGATGTGAACCGGCGAATAACAACACGTGAGATCGGATTGAGGTTAAATTTATCAAATTCAACAGTTTATGACCACTGGAAAGGCCTGGGATTATCCTCGAAGCTCGATGTATGGGTTCCCCATGTTCTCACAGAGAGAAATCTGTGTCGCCGCATTGACGTCTGCGATTCGCTTCTCAAACGTCACGAAAATGATCCGTTTTTGAAGCGCATCATCACTGGGGACGAAAAATGGGTTGTATACAACAACGTCAAACGCAAGAGGTCATGGAGCAAAAAAGATGAACCGGCTCAAACCATTTCCAAAGCCGATATTCACCAAAAAAAGGTGATGCTGTCTGTTTGGTGGGATTTTAAAGGAATCGTTTTTTTTGAGCTTTTACCGGATAACACAACGATTAATTCGGAAGTCTACTGTCATCAGCTGGACAAACTGAATGATGCACTTCAACAGAAAAGGTCAGAACTAATCAACAGGAAAGGTGTAGTGTTTCACCAAGACAACGCGAGACCTCACACAAGTTTGGTCACTCGCCAAAAGCTTTTACAGCTTGAATGGGATACAATGCTACACCCACCATATTCTCCAGACCTGGCACCATCGGATTATTATTTGTTCCGGTCACTCCAAAATTTTTTAGACGGTAAAACCTTCACCTCAAATGAGGAGGTCAAAAACCTCCTCGATCAGTTTTTTGCCAGCAAAGACCAAAAATTTTATGAGCGTGGAATTATGCTACTACCAGAAAGATGGCAAAAGGTGTTGGACCAGAACGGCCAATATATAATTTAATAAAGTACTTGTTTATTATCCGAAAACTGTCTTTCATTTCCACAAAAAAAAACGAAATGACTTTCCGAACAACCCTTTAGAATGCGAAGATTAGCTCAGGATAGGAGAGTAGAGGTGCGTGTCCAACCAGTCTTAGGACTGGCGACCTTATGATGATGAATAATATATGTATTTTTTCCTGATACTCAAGGTAAATACACATGTGTACTCGTTGTTACTTTTTAAATTCTTTCTTTTATACTCGCCGTGTGCTTCCTAGATATAACTTATGCAGTCTACGAGCGAATTCCGTAGTAATACAGTGAAAAACATTGACAGATTAAAAGGTGTTTCTATTTTAATCTGTCTAAAGTAAGGATTACGGACGCGATATCCTTTATATTTATTTATAAAGCCCTTTATACAAAATATGTTTACTGGCTGACATTTATCGATGGGTACTTTTACAGGATTACATGTCATTTAAACCGTTTGTTTAAAAGATTTAATAATTCAGAAAGCGTTTCGTCGTCTGGAGGTTCATATTTCCTGAACCAACAAGCCGCAATTCCTTTTCCTATCCATGTCATCACGCTCACGTTTTGTTTGTTACTTGGAAAATGTGTTTAAAATACTTTTCACATTCCATACGCACGAAAGAAGATTTCATTTATATACCTAACAGTACATACATAGCGTTTAAGGATAGTTTGTTGTTTCTACAGATCAGCCTGTAACAAATAGTTATGAAACCTTTTATTGTGCCCATGTAATTATCTTAAAGGTCAACGCGCACTTTGGGGAATCAAATAGATTTGAACCGAAGGAAAGCGCGTAGAAAAAAACCTAATTTTTAAAAAGTTTTTCAACTCCTATTTAATACTTAAATCTTAAAATCATAGCATTTGTAATTGCCAAATATAAGTGCATGTTAGTCTTGATAATTGCACTAAATAATAATTATTTCACGCCTTGCAGACTATAGTATAAACGCTAGTTGATTGTCTGATTTTTCATCAGCAACTCCTGTTTCTGCTTCTAATACACTTCATGTCTGACAAGGTGTCCTATCATCATTTTTCACAACGCCCTCTGTTCTCCAATACGTATTAATACCTCATTCTTCGAACAAAATAATTCGAAGTGGTCTATATTCTGTCGAAACTGCCAGACGCGGATCGCGATTTCGATCTTTTTGGATCTCATCAGCGCGTCGCAGGCAGCTCCGACAGAACACAGACCAAC